CACTCCGATCCGCCGATCCGAAATAGATGAAGCATTCAAATTCCAGAAAAGAAGAAACAATTGTCTGTCATTTTCTCAACAACTGAAGTTAATGTGTGCAGCTAGTTACACATGAAAAAGTGCCATTTACTCTCTTAGGCTCATATATCATATATGATCAATATATATCAACTGGCAAAAATTGTGCACTGCGTGCCTGCTACACAAGTATCAGTGGAAAGATCATTTTCTTCCCTAAAATTGCTGTGCAATTTATTGTCAAAATCGATCAAAACCTTAATCTTCCTTTAACTAAATAAATAGAAACATTAATTATATTATATTAATTAAACTATCCTTTTTTATGTGTCTGTTAAGCCATCGATCTTAGTTGAGTGATGAGTTAGTATCAATCAGTGGTCGGCACCCACACCCACACATACACATACATAAATGAATGAATACCCTGCAGTACGAGTCAGCGATGTGTAAGCAGCCACACAACGATGACTGTTAACTTTAACACAGGGATGTCCTAGGAGCATAATCGATGACCTAGTAAGCGAGAATTAGCCGAAAGTAATGCCTCAATAAGCGATGAATTTCCCTTAAAAAGTAAAGCCTTAATAAGCGATGACTTTTTCTAATAAAGTAAGGCCTTAAAAAGTGATGAATTTAACTTTTGCTATTTTGAGGAAAAAGGCATGGGTAAATTCTGTTTTAAAGTATTAAATTTCTTTTATTTTCTTATAAAAATTTAGATTTACATTTTTGGGCTGCGTGTTCTTTTTTCCACAGAACCTTTTTTGTTTTGTTGATTTGCTCATGGTCGTAATGCCGTCGTGCTCATTCCGGGCACTTCAACTGAATATTTTTATTCGAAATTTCTAAAATCTGTTCAATTTGCTAACAATGCTCTCAGTAGATCAGCAGTGCATTTGCGCCAAGAACAAAACACCCGCAAGATATGTACCTGTTCGACTAAAGACTCGCAAGAACAACTAAAGAATCACTCGGGTGGTTTTTTTCGGTTTTTGTTGTTGGAAATGAAAAATTTCGTCCAAAACGCATACATTTCGCAATATCACTTTTTTTCATTTTTTACTACGCACAATCGACTATTTTTAATTAAATGAAACACTGCACTTACCTGATATTAATTTTGCCCAAAATAAACAAAACCTGCGTCTCACTTTTCACCGCACAATTCTAACAACGTTGTCGACGCCGATGGCAAAACTGAATTCTGTTACGGCACGCGTCGTAACAGAAAGAAAAAAAGAAAAAAAAAAGAGTTTGGTCTGACCGACGCGTCGATCGCGACGTCGACGTCATATTCTGCTCGTCTGCCGCAGCGGCAGAGAAAAAATCCTGAATGACGCGTAGTTGACATTTGTTATCGCTCACTCCTGGTACTGCAGGGTAGGTCAAGCGGTTTCTATAATATATGTATGTATGTATGTATGTACATATGTACATAATGTTCAGTCGCATATTTATGCATTAATTAATATTACATAATATACACTTATCGAATAAGTCAGGTCGACCCATGTAACGGGAGACATAATAACAAACGACAAAGCATTGAAGCTGAGTCAACAATAACAGCTTCTGCAGCAATTTCTGCCTACGAAGCGATCGCTCTTCAGAGGGCAAAAACACTGGTGCAATTGCTGACTATCACAATTGCCCAATAACACAATATCATATTAAATCCAAATTAATTCAATATCAATTCCAATTCCCTTTTACCATATTCTTACTAGACTCAGCACTTTCTGTACCTTTTGTTACATACAAATATAATTTAAGTTTGTTGAATAAAATTAGTATCAGAAACAGCACCATCACTGCCTGTTCAGTCATTCTCTACATTTGCTATCATCAGAGGCTGTCGCCGTGTCTTCAGACCCTCATTTGCTCACCGTTGGAAATCCTCTCCGCAGTCCAACTGGTTCCAGTTATAGTTGCGACGACAAAATTGTAAATGGTTTATGTACCGTATGCGTAGCAAATCACACTAACACAAACATAGATTAACATTTGGTGACTGTCCAACAAGCGACAGGAAAAGGATACAACCTGCAGATCACACTGAAGAAGTAACCAGGACTCTTCAACACAAACTGGCAACAAGCCACATACTTACGGTAGAATCTCCTACCAATAAGTAGAACAAATTGGCAGATTTGTCACTTTCAGATCATCAGCCAACAAGATCAACGATTAATAATATCAAGATAGGAAGTGCGTTTCATCAGCACAAAACCTCCATCCAGTACGTCATCTGTACTTTTACTTTGACCAACATCGGTTGCGAATAGGAGCGAATCCAGCTGCAAAGCAAATAAAATATTTCCAATACGTACTTAAAATACGTAAGAGGCAAAATGGATTCACACAAGGAGGAACACGCTGCCGCCACGGAGGCATTAAATGAGCAGCAAGAAATTGGAGATGAAATTTCAAAGATCATTTGGAACTTCTGGAAAGACTCCTCAGAAAGGAAGCAAACTATAACGTACTTCCAATTAAAAAAGGCGGCTCTCGAGGATGCATGGAATCGATTTAACGAAATCGACACCAAGCTATCGAAAGCATACAAAACCGATCTTTACGTTAATCTTTAACGAAAGCATAGACAAGCTAAATCAGGCATCAAGTTCTCATGTTTGACAAAATGTCGGACCAAAATCAGATGATCGGAGCCAGCATTTCACGGAGGCTTACAGCGAATTGCCTTCAGTATGTCGCCGACAAAAGGCCATAGTAGAGTCCATAAAACGCATTCTGAGACAATTCTCAGAGGCGTGAGGACGTACATCAAGTGATTTGATAAAATCACTATGGACTCAAGCACAAAAAGTCCATTTCACTATTCACGTGGAATATGATAGCCCAGAAGAAGGAGGATACAACATGGAAGCCTACATGGCCCTGGAAAAAGAGGTACAAAGAGCATTGGCAAAACCAGCCACATCCAAACAATAATGACATGCAGCTTCCACGCATCAACATTCCCAAGATTGATGGGGACATACTAAAATGGTGCCAGTTCTATGACCTGTTCTCATGTATGATACATGAAACAAACATGCCCACAGTACGGAATATGTGGTATCTAAAAACAACCGTAACTGGAGAGGCAGAAAGATTGATCCGACATATCGATCTAAAGAAAGAAAATTATGTGAGCGCCCTTTATTTCAAATAATTAACAATTATCTGCTAACTATGAACTATAGTAACTAGAATATACATACTTAAAGAAAAATTATAATAGAAGAAGAAAAGAAAGGTTTAACAAATTTGCTATGTTAACGTGAAGGTAAACGTTACGAACAATCGTATCAAGGAATAGTTCGGGAGATATTGTATTGTAAAAGGAATTTTAATTATTGCAAAGAACACGGAAAGTTTCGTGCTGCGCGAAGTTAGATCTGCAGAAGGGTAAACGGATAGGCAGTAAAGTTCGGGTTGGTCTAGATGGAACTGTAAAATGTATCTGTCCCAACAGAGTTTGGGATTCCACAAGCCCGAGAATGAGCTTGTGAATAAATAAGACGCCATTGCAAATTCTGCGATGGTGTAAGGAGGGTAGGTCGAGTAGTTTTAGCCTTGATCGGTATGGAGGCAACCGTCTGCCAGAGTCCAAGTTCAGATTCCTAGGGGAAAAAATTAATTTTTGAACAGATTCAATTTGAATTTGTTGCTCTTTGTATTGAGGGCTCCATACACAAGAACAGTACTCCAATATCGGGCTTACCAATGTCACAATGTACCAATGGTCGTCAAAGTCTTTTGACCAACGCTTAATGAACGCTAAAACTCCCTTAGCTTTGTTCACCGTTAAACCAATATGGCTGTTAAAGCATAGGTTATAATCAAACAGGACTCCTAGGACATTTGATGGGGAAATTCGATCCAGAGCTTGTTGTCCTAAAGAGTGGGAAACCAAATGTGGAACACGGCGGTGAAACGTCATAAGATTGCACTTTGAGCGGTTAAAAAACAGTAGGTTAGAGGAACACCACTTATTTAATTCATCGAGGTCAAGTTGAAGGCGAGTGTGCGAGTACCAATCAGAATATGAAAAACAGATTTTGACTTCATCAGCATACATTAGTGTAACTGAGTGCAAAATAACTTGAGGTAAGTCATTCACAAACAGATTTAACAGCAGCGGACCTAAATGAATTTCTTGAGGATTACCTGAGGTTACATGCACGACATTTGACAGAACATTAGAGAACAAAACACGCTGTGTGCGGTTTGACAGATACGACGATATCCAATTTACGAGATTTGGAGGTAAACCTAACAGAGGGAGTTTATGGATCAGCAAAGTATGATTAACAGAATCAAAAGATTTGCTGAAATCTGTAAAAATTACGTCAGTTTGCAAGCAGCTTTGAAAGCCTCGGTTGATTAGAGACGAGAACTCTATAAGGTTAGTCGATGTTGATCGATGACTAAGAAAACCATTTTGCGACGGGGATATGCGTGTTGCAATTGACGATTAACAAGGTGATCTAGCAGCTTTGGAATAGCAGCAAGCTTAGCAACACCGTGGTAGTTTTCAACGTTGGATCTAGACCCATTTTTGTGAAGAGGAATAAGGTAGGATTCGTTCCAAATCACGGGGAGGCAAAAACGTTCAAGAGACAAATTAAACAGGAAGGTCAAAGGTTGGCATAGGGCTTTAGCCCAATACTTTTAACTGCAGCTCGGAACTTTATCAGGTCCTGCAGAGAAACAGATGTCAATCGATGAAAATCCTTCTAAAACTGCGCTTTCTTCAAATAAGGGAAGGGTAGGGCTAAGGGGTGGATGAGTCGTAGGTATGAGATGAATACGTCGATTGCAATTTTGCAATACCTTGAGCTGACGTTTCTGTTTTATCCAGTAAATGAAGAGAAGGGAGGAACGCGTTAGACTTACGTTGGGATCAGTACAGAAATATGTACTACGTTGGGAAAGATAAAGGTTATGTTTAAGCCGCAAAGTAGGCACCGATGCAGCCCATAGGCTGCAAGCTCATGCTCCCGAAGCATGAAAGCTTTTGGAGCGGCCTCTTCAGTGCTCATTAGATTTAAGCTTAATCATACCAGAGTTAGTTGAAATCAGACCTTGGAATAAAGCACAACGCGCACGCGCATCATTTTCCGCAAATTACATACATCTTCTTCTTATTGTTTGGGCACCTAAATCCCACGAGCCACCAGAAGTGAAGGACGAGAAAAGCAGGCAAGGATCTCCCACTACAATCAGTGGTCCTTCGAGCCGGATTTCATCATTGGATTTTTTTTTATTTTTCACCGAAAAAAAATCACGGAGATCATCCCCCCAATCCGCTTGCCCCAGCTTGCTCAAGAGGAATTGCCAGCTAAGTATATAAAAACCGTCCAATTTGCAACCAAAAAGGTTCTGTGCAGTGTATAGTGTGTGGAGAAACTCCATAGTGAGGAAGTGCAAGTGAAGACGAAAAAAACCGCTATTTGTTTCCCTTTTTTTTTTCTTTCCAAACGTACCTGGCATATGTACATAACGGCCTATTTCCATATATATAACCTCGCCATCTTTTTTTCCGCCAAAAATCGGACAAGTGCAACGACCCATCAGGCGCACATATGTACGTACTTATATACATAGGCACACGCTGATCTCCGCTAATTCCATTCCGCTTAGAGAAGCACTGCATCGAACCTAGTGCATCGAACATGTTGGGTCGCGACTAGGGTGGCGAACATACATATGCACATACATACGGTTTTTTCTCTTTGGCGCTCTCGTCTCTTGCACTGTACACACATATGCATAATCCGCACAAGTTATTTTAAATAAGAACCAAACAAAAAAAAATTATAAAATAAAATAACGTTTAAGTGCATGTACATAGTACCACCTTTTTTGTAGGTGTACTTTATGTTTTTGTTCCTTTTCCTCCGCCAAAACTAACTCCATTCACCCAATCACCTTATTTAAAAAAAGAACTAAACTAAAACTTTGTGCCAAGTACTTTTGGGTGACACTCCATAAATCTCTCACTCGAACGGTACATGTTCCATTCCATCGTTCCAGAATTTTGGTACATATACAATATAAATACAAATTTGTAACATAATAACCTCTCGTTTTTCCAAATTATTGCTCATACCATCTCCGTTTCGTTTCCACCGTTCCACGTTCATACGCGTCGCTGATAGCTTATTATGTCCAGTGAGCGCGACGCGAAGAAACGCCTTACAGTTCCAAGCACGCGACCATCGCCATATTCCAAGACTCCATCGTCCTCCGTTAGGAAAGATCCTTCGGGTTCATCGAAAGACGAATCCAAACTTACTCCAGTCAGCATTACTCGCGCCCTGGGACAAAGACTTGCGGAGGTCAAGAGAATGGCATTAGCGGACTTTATCGCGGCATCAGACCGACTCGGCAGTTTCGAGGCGAGGCTCGCTACTCCATCCTCTGTGGTGGTGTCCACGTTCACCCTTAAGATCCGCCTAGACGAAGTGAGGACCTTGTGGGAAAAGGTACGGCTAGAGTGCGAGCGTTGCACCAAGGCTCTCAGTGAAACTGAACCCGATGGTGATGCTATGCAATCCATGCAAGCCAAATATGAGCATTGCTACTCAGTATATGAGAGGTGCGCTACAAGCCTACAGGAGCAAATCGAGAGCGCTTCGGCTCCCCCCCCGCTATCCACCCCTAGCGCTCATCAAGGAGGCTATAGTCGTCTGCCCCCAATTGAAATCGAGGTATTCCACGGCGATTATCTAAAGTGGCCCACTTTCAGCGATCTATTTTCCGCAATCTACATAAGCAATCCAAGACTGACTCAAGTGGAGATGCTATATCACCTCTGCCACAAGACTCGTGGTGAAGCCAAAGTCATTGTTGAAAAAGCTCCGCTGACGAACGAGGGTTTCAATTCCGCATGGACCGCCCTGAAAGAACGTTTCGAGAACAAGAGAACTCTTGTCAACAGCCAACTAAGAATCCTATTTAGTTTCTCCCCTATCCAAAATGAATCCGGGGCCGCTTTAAAAGAGCTCCAAAGTGCCATCCAGGGATGCCTCACGGCCTTAGAACACTCAGAGGTGCCCATTGATAATCGGTTCGCGGACGGCGTTCTGGTGTTTCTGGTTTCCTCAAAGTTGCCGAAAGTGACCTTGTCTCTTTGGGAACAGTCACTTCCGAGCAAGAGCGAGATACCGTCATGGAGCGCCATGAACAAATTCCTGAGTGAGCGATATTTATCTCTCGAAGCAATGGAGAACGCAAATGCCTCCATGCAAGCGCTTTCCAGGCCCGAAAGAAGGGAAAAAGAACGAAAAAAAGGTTAATTCTTTTGAGGCAAAAGTAAGCGCCGACCTCCGCCAAAGCTCCGTCAAGATTCGCACCTGCAGTCTTTGTTCCAAAGAAAACCACCCGGTGCGCCAATGTCCACGCTTTCTAAAAATGTCTGCTCATGATAGAGCCAACTACATAAAGCAACAAAAGTTGTGTATGAACTGCTTCGCTAGAGGGCACCAAATCAAAGATTGCACGAGTCAACATAATTGTTTTACGTGCAAACGTCGCCACCACACGCTTCTGCACCGTGGTAACCCACATCCAGAGCCCTCTGCAACAGTTCCTTCCATTCCAAACCCAATTCAAGACATACAGTCCGCTTCATCCTCCAATGTCCAAAGCTACTACACAGCGAACACACAGGGTGTTTTGCTAGGCACGGCTATGATAAACATATGCCACTTGGGCACCAGTTTTAAAGCACGTGCATTGATCGATTCTGGATCGGAAGCAACGTTCATCTCCGAACGTCTGTTCAGAATTATCAAGCTTCCTTTCCAACCAGTTCAGGTTCAAGTAACGGGCTTGAGCCAAGCAATTTCAGCCAGGCCTCAGAAGATATGCCACTTCCAAATAGGCTCACCATCAAAACCGAGGATCCACATAGAAACCTCGGCCTACGTACTCCCAAATGTGGCAGGCACCTTACCTTCGTACCCAGTTTCTCAAGGTTTTGTAAAGGACCTGCCAAACATTCCTCTTGCTGACCCTTCTTTCTATAAGAGCTCGCAGATAGATGTGCTCTTAGGTGCAGATATCCTTCCATCAATTTTACTAGGCGGCTCCCAACCCAACATTTGCGGCTCGTTACTCGGTCAGGAGACCATATTTGGATGGATCCTCACAGGACCAGTAGCTGAGTCAACTCGCCCCTCAATTTCTTCCTTTGCTACAAGGGTAAAGGTCAGTACAGAACAGCGTTTAGAAAACCTTCTAACGAAGTTTTGGGAGGTGGAGGATCTTCCAGCCGTGAGGGCAGAAGAGTCTTCTGATTCCGTCTGTGAAGACAATTTCATTCAAACTACTCGTAGAGATTCAAGTGGCAGATATATGGTGTCATTACCCTTTCGAAATCCTGAGTGTGTCGACTTAGGCCATTCTAGATCAATCGCGCTGGCTCAGTTCCTCAAAAATGAAGGCCGTTTACAACGGAACCCACCTTTAAAAGAGCAGTACGACAGTGTCCTCCAGGGAGTATGTAGACTTAGGTCACATGCGACGAGTACCTCCAAGCAATGACTCTGACAACTTCTATCTGCCCCATCATTCTGTCCTTAAACCAGACAGCACCACTACAAAGTTACGGGTAGTATTTAACGCCTCCAGTCCATCTTCAAATGGCAAGAGTCTTAACGACATCCTACATCCAGGACCGGTTCGCCAATCAGATCTGACCATTCAGATACTGAAATGGCGTTTCTTCCAATTCGTTTTTAATGCTGACATCACAAAGATGTATAGGCAAATCACCCTCGAGCCAACGCAGACAAGGTTTCAAAGAATCCTTTTCCGGAACAAAGAGGGCGAGCTCGGGGACTATGAACTTACAACTGTCACTTTCGGTGTGAATTGCGCACCGTACTTAGCTATTCGCGTGCTCAAGAAACTTGCTCAAGATGTGCGGGAGATATACCCACTGGCAAGCGACATCATATCCGATTCCATGTATGTTGACGATGTGGTTGCTGGCGCGCACACAGAGCAGACGGCCATTGCAGCGATCAAAGAGCTTCGCTCCGCTCTAGATAGTGCCGGGTTTCCGTTGAGGAAGTGGACCTCTAACTCGAAGCAAGTCCTTCAGGACATTCCTACGGACCATTTGCTGTGCGCCGATTTCCTTGAAATGGAGGATTCCAGCTCTGCAAAAACATTAGGTATCCGGTGGCAGGCTCAGAGTGACGAGTTCTTTTTTAAACCATCCGAGGTAGACCTAGGTTCCTCATACACGAAAAGGGAGGTCCTCTCCCAAATAGCGAAATTATTCGACCCAGCGGGATGGCTGGCTCCGTTTGTAGTTCGAGCGAAAATCTTTATGCAGGAAATCTGGCTTAAAGAGCTCGAATGGGATGACTCTCTGCCAACAGACCTCCTCCAAAGGTGGCGAGACTTTCTTCTCAGCTATCCCGCTCTCCGCGAGATTCAGATACCAAGGTGGGTACAGTATCACCCCAGGGCAAAACTGCAGTTCCACGGGTTCTGTGATGCATCCCAACGTGCCTTTGGTGCCGCAATCTACGTTCGTGTAGAACGTGACCGAGAGGTCTCTGTCCATCTACTTACAGCGAAAACCAGGGTAGCTCCTGTGAAGACCGTGTCCTTACCTCGTTTGGAACTATGCGGGGCGGTACTTCTTGCTGAGCTTTCCTCGTCGCTCCTTCCTCAACTGTCCATTGATAGCTACGAGTGCTATTATTGGACAGACTCCACCATCGTGTTAGCTTGGCTGAACAAGCCACCATGCAAATGGACAACGTTTGTGGCTAACCGAGTGACTAAGATCACGCAGTCCGTCAGCCCGGGGAAATGGTCTCACGTAAGATCGGAGCACAATCCGGCTGACTTAGCGAGCAGAGGGGTTTCCGCCCAAGATCTGGCTAGCAGCGATCTATGGTGGCACGGGCCAGAATGGTTGCAGTTGAGCCCAGACCAATGGCCCATCCCCGTCGAACCTCTGCAAGAGACAGACGTAGAACAACGTCCTGTCAAGTGCAACCTGTCTCAGTCACCACCAGATTCCAGTTTTCTAGCCCGCTTCTCAGAGTTCGGAAAGGCCCTGAGAGTCCTGTCCTATGTTTTTAGATTCCTCAAGCGTTGTCAGAAGCCGGACACCCAATTTCCAGACGAGCTCAGTAGCAACGAGCTATCCGATACACAAGAGCGTATGATCATCCATACTCAGCGCTTAGAATATTCCAACGAATTCCGGCACTTGCTAAAAAAGCAGCCTCTTCCTACGTCTAGCTGCATCATTAACTTGAATCCATTTATCGACCAACACGGGGTCATAAGAGCATGCGGTCGTGTGAGAACATCGGAGTCCCTAAGCTATGATGAGAAGCACCCGATCATTCTCCCGTATTCAAGCGCATTTACATGTCTCCTCGTTCGGTTCACTCATCGCATCGCATTGCATGGGGGGAACCAATTAGTGATGCGGCTCATCCGATCCAAATACTGGGTTCCGAAACTACGGACCTTAGTCAAAACAACGATAAACTCCTGTAAGGTCTGTGTGGTCCATCGCAGAAAGTTGCAAACCCAGCTTATGGGAGACTTGCCCGAAGAGAGGACAACGTTCTCTCGTCCATTCACTCGTACAGGTGTCGACTTCGCTGGACCATTCGAGATCAAGACGTACGCAGGTCGAGCTTGCCGCATCACCAAAGGGTATGTGTGTGTCTTCGTGTGCTTCAGCACGAAGGCGATCCATTTGGAAGCAACCTCTGATCTCACAACCGAAAAGTTCCTTGCAGCTTTTAATCGGTTCGTAGCAAGGCGAGGTTGCCCTCAGAAAATGTGTTCCGATAATGGGAAGACGTTTGTCGGAGCTGAAAAAGCCCTTTCCCACGATTTTCTGGTCGCCACCAGAGCAAGTGTTCTTGCAACATATCCGCAGCAGCACCTCACGTGGCACTTTAACCCTCCAAGCGCACCTCACATGGGTGGCCTGTGGGAAGCGGGTGTGAAAAGTTTCAAGACGCTTTTCTACAAGTCCACCTCAACATGGAAGTATACTTTCGAAGAACTGTCGACCCTCCTTTCCAAAATCGAAGCGTGCTTGAATTCGCGGCCCATTTCCCCTATGTCAGAAGATCCAACTGACCTTCTAGCCCTAAGTCCAGGCCACTTTTTGATTGGCGGCCCGCTGGTTTCAATTGCGGAGCCAGAAATAAAAGAGAACGCAACCGATGGTCAACCGATGGCAGCGTCTAAAGGCCCTTAATCAGCAGTTCTGTTTCCGTTGGAAGGAAGAATATCTGAAAAAGTTGCACAAACGAAATAAGTGGCAACTTCCAACTCGAAACCTCCAAACAGGCGATATGGTTGTTGTAAAGGAAGATAACCTGCAGCTTAGTGAATGGCGCCTAGGAAGGATTGAACGAACCTATCCCGGGGTCGATGGCATGGTCCGCGTGGTCGATGTTTTAACTGTCCGTGGGACCATTAAGCGGCCAGTAGCAAAGCTCATCCTTCTTCCTGTAGAGAGCAATGTCCACGTCCAAGTATCCAATTAGCTAATGTGTCGTTTGTTGGCCGGTGCGTAAGATCCAACCACTAATCTTCCACATCTCTTTTTTTCCAAGCATGACTCCTCGTCGTCGTCCATTAACGCGCAGCCAGCCCAGAGGATCGGACTGTTTTCGCTGTCGGGTCTGCCGTGGAGTCCACGCTCTACGCAAATGCCAGCGGTTCCTCACGCTAAGTGCCGAAAAGCGTTTACGGGCAGTGATCATCAATAAGTACTGCCACAATTGCCTGGCCCACCAACACTCAGGGAGCTCATGCCGAAGCGGCGACACGTGCCGGGTTTGCGGGAAGAACCACCACACTCTCCTCCACCTAGAGGGATCACAGCGGACTCCACGTCCCAAGGCTCGCTCGACTGTGCCGAAGGCAAGCTCGCCCACAGCGAGATCGCGCTCCAGATCCGCTGCTCCTCCAACGACGCTGACATCGCTCCTTCAGTCCAGGAGCACTAGCGTCCTCCCAACAGCAGTGGTTGTGATCGACACGGGTCTCAAGACGTTCGAAGTGGGCGCTCTAATTGATCCGTGCAGTCCAGTCAGCCGCATCAACGCATCCTTGGCAACGGCCTTCGGGCTTTCCGTCACTCGCGTTGGTGCGGAAGGTGCTTGCACCACCTTCATCCTTTCTAAGGTGAAGAGCGATGTCAGGCTAGAGGTGGTCCTGACGGTGGAGCCTCAGCTCCAAATACGAACACCGACGAGACCCCTGGGAGACCACGTAAAGGAGCACTTCGCCAACATGGACCTGGCGGATGCTCAATTCCATCGGCCATGTACCATTTCCTTGGTACTCGGAGCCGACGTATATCCAAAGGTGATTCTGCCAGGAGTGGTCCCAAGCACGGACGGCTTCCCAGTTGCGCAGAACACTGTGTTCGGGTGGACTCTCTCTGGCACTTGCAACACCGTGTGAACAGAGAAAGGCGGCCCTTCCCCGTTCCTATTTTTTCTTTGCAACTATATTGCAAGGGGGGAGGATGTTTAAGCCGCAAAGTAGGCACCGATGCAGCCCATAGGCTGCAAGCTCATGCTCCCGAAGCATGAAAGCTTTTGGAGCGGCCTCTTCAGTGCTCATTAGATTTAAGCTTAATCATACCAGAGTTAGTTGAAATCAGACCTTGGAATAAAGCACAACGCGCACGCGCATCATTTTCCGCAAATTACATACATCTTCTTCTTATTGTTTGGGCACCTAAATCCCACGAGCCACCAGAAGTGAAGGACGAGAAAAGCAGGCAAGGATCTCCCACTACAATCAGGTTATAACATTGACTATTGACAGTAAGAAATTTAGAGCGAACAGACGAGTATTGAGCAAAGTCAGATAAAGAACCAGTTCTCTGTTTTTTTTTTTTTGTTTTTTTTTTTTTTTTTTTTTTTTTTTTTTTTTTTTTGCCTTCCCGGGTTTTTTTGTTCCTTTCCTTTTTTTTTTTTTTTTTTTTTTTTTTTTTTTTTTTTTTTTTTTTTTTTTTTTTTTTTCTTTTTTTTTATATCCGATAACGACTGAAGAAAAGACCAATCAATTTGCAACAGATGTAAACTTTAATCGGTGAAATTCGTTTTACGAAAACACTTTATTCCACAGTTTACCTCTACTATTTTTGACGGAATTAATTTGGGAAAGGGAGACATCAATTATACCATCAAATCATTTTTGTGCAGGTAACAGCATTTTTGATTCATCCTGCTGTCCAGATAGAAGTGGTATGTTGAAGTTGTAAAAAGGAAACAGCTCGGACGCAAAATCAATTTTTACTGCAATAAGAACCTCACCAGAAAATTATGGTCGATCCATTCTGTAGGTGGTGAACTTGTGGATGAAAATTTCATGATCTGAGGCGGAATAGTTAAGCCAGGTTTCAGTTATAGCCATAGCGTCGAATTCAAAAGAGGTGCTATCCGTATATATTTTGGTCAATTTACCCAAAAGACTGCGTACATTCTGATATGGGATGGTGAAATGGTTCCTCAGTTTTTTTTTAATCTTAGGGACAGTGACTCTAGGGACCTGCAAAATTCATGCAAAATAGTGTGCTCAGGCCATGCGGACGTTTCCAGGGCCTTGGATAGAAGAGAATCGGGAAGAAAAAATTTTGAAGGATGAAATATTACGCTTATGTTAAAAATAAAATTTAGTTATGATAAAGTCATCACTAAGATGTAGTTTAACATCTTCCGGTGTGGTTTCTGGGAGGAGGCGAGAGACAAAGATTGCCTTTTGAGGTACTACTGCTCTAAGTTGGAGTCCCGGGACAGAAACGATGGCAGCAGCTGAGGCAATGGATGGAACAGGAACGGTGGCAGGAACAGTGGGGACGTAATCGGCAACATGCATACGCAAACGGGAAGCACTAACAGCGGTGTCAGCAGTGATGGATACAGTGAGTGGCATAACATTGTTAGTCGGTGTGAAAAACGGATTGATTTCCGGCAGGGCATGACCAGTCGGCGAAGCCAAGGATTCCGATGTATGTAGGTGAGAAGAAGGCGTTCCGATTCCAATAGGTTGAAAGAAGTTGCTGTTATGGGTGTTAGGGATTTTCCGTCTAGGAGATTCACTCAGAAGCTTGAGGCCAAGAAATTGAGATTCCAAGGTCAGGAACTTCTCGTTGAGAGCGACAAATTGCTTCCAGACATTCAGAAAGCCAGTACGAGTCTGTCTCATAAAAGTGTGCATTTCGGCCTCAATCTCCCGGCAGGCCAAACATGACCAAGTTAGACCCATACGTTTTGATATGAGATCGTGTAGTCGTCCAAAATTACCACCACCATCACATTTTATATGGGCAACATTGTCGCATAGCCAGCAGCTGAGGAATGAATCGCTGACTATGCTGCCACCTAATTCGCATTTTTTTCACTGCAGACAACAGCCATTTTTGACAGCAGTTGAATCACTGTACTCGAAGAAAAACGCAAAGTGGAAGCGCAAGCTATATGAGAGAGCGGGCAGCAGAGCAAGCGACGATCAGCAGCCGCAGCGGACGATCCAGCGAGGTGACGAAAACAAACGGTGATGCTGTCTGCTGTCGTGAGCAGAGACAACGAAAGAAGAAGAAGAATGAAGAAGAATGCAGGCAAAGTAGATCCAAAGCGGTATGGATAAAAGCACTAACAAATCGTTTGAGAAAGTTTGTTTAATGATCGATTTAACGATTTAATTATATTTAATCAATTGTAAGCAAGTGAAATAGATATAACCGACACAAACAGTGATCAAGAATGATAGGTTCAATGGTGTACAGAATTATTAGTAATTAATATTCAGTTATTATCGCAAAAAGGCAGCCGTCAGCCATTCGGGTGATACAGGGGGACTAACAGATGAGACTGCCCTCGCCATAACTGGACCCTTGGACTATGGGTCGGAGCGCTTCGTGTCAGGGCTTGCCCTGATCCGATGCAGCCTTGCTCCTGGTTTCTAGGACGCGGGGGGATCTCGAGCGACCCGTCACCCACCGTTACTGCACACACCTGTGGAAGTGCGACTATACTCTCTGTTCGGTCAAACTCTTAATGTCATAATATAATATAATAATCACTTAAATGACCCTCGCGTTGTATACCTTACGCTCATTCTTACTCTCTTTGTTACGCTCTTGCATTAAATTTGAAATTGAATTCACCACATTAGAAGCCCGCTTATGCTCAGTGCTCATGCACTTAGAAACCGAATAAATAGTTATTGGCTAGTACTCAACTGAACCCCCTCGACTTTCGGATTATTCTTGGATTACAGCAAATTTCTTCGCATCGAGTTTAATTAGCTCACTGGAGATTGACACACCCTTCATCCTTGAACAACTATATTGAGAAAAACGCTCATCAAACATTTTGGCGCCCAACGTGGGGCTCGTGTGTTAATTCTGTGAACAATTAAATTATTCGCATTTATGTATATTCCATCAGACAGTTTCGTCGGTACATAATTTGCAAGTGCAACAACTACACTTTCTTTTTGTCTCGCAGTAGCCATCGAAATTGCTGAAAATCATATCAGAAGCTAACTGAAGAGGTTCATTAACCTCTCGCTGTGCTCTCGCCATTCTCGCTTAATTCGCTTATCACGCTCACCGCATTTAACGGCGCTTGCGCTCTCGTTTCGTTTGCATTGCTGCTACCTGCTTTGGTCCATCGGTCAACGCAGTTATCTGTCTCTTCGAATTTCTCCGCTTTACTTTCGCTTTCATTGCCGTGGTTGGAATTTTTGCTCCCTTTCTGGACTGGAATTGCGCTCAAACCTGTTTTTTGCCGCCGTCGCTCGCTTCTAAATTTGTTCTCTTGCTGCTGCTGCTGATTTGGTGCCTTCTTGCTGTTGTTGCGTGCATTGCATGTGGAGTTTCTAGTTGTGTGTGCGTGTTATTGACACTACACAACACTCGACGCTCGAAGATTTGAAACGCCAACGGAGCAATAGGCCGGCCTTAGACACAGTTCAGGCATTCCAGGTTACCAGCGATAACTATCGAAGGCTCTAGAAAAACTCAAAGAACGTTATGATAATTCTACTCTTATTTTTCTAGAAGGAATCGAGTCATTGTTTGCATTACAACCTATAGAAAGGGCTAACAGTCAGCAGCTTCGCAGTTTAGTGGATAAAGCCTCCGCTATCTTCAGCTCTTTGGAATCCATCGGAATACCTGAGAATATTGCTCAAGCTATGCTCATATATATCGTTATGGAGAAGTGTGATCAGCCCAACTCCGATTAAGTGGAAGGAATCGCTGGACTACAAGACTCTGCCGACCTGGCTAAAATGCACACAGCTGTTTGAACGCCACTGTCAGTTTCTCCATTCATCTGGAACCTCGGCTGGTACTTCGTCGCAACGAAAGGCTGAAACCAATAAGTCTAATCGTCATTCAAATCACCATACAACCTCATCGTTTGCCATTACTAATTCGTCTTGTACCCTGTGTTCTAGTTCTGGTCATAAAATTACGAACTGGTTCGAATCAACGGTTCGATAATGTGAAACGCCTCGGTCTCTCCATCAATTGTCTTGGAAACGGCCATAGAGTTGCACAATGCTCATCGACTCATCGTTGCCGTACCTGTAATCGGACTCATCATTCAACCTTGAAACCGCAACAAACACCACAATCGTCAGAAGGACAACCTCAACTCCAGCACAAGAAACACAATCATCGCTATCCTCCTGGCCACCCACTGCTAGTCAGTCTCATCAAGCAGCGGCTCATTCGCACATGGAAGTAGCAGCAGAGGATCAGATACTGTTAGCGACAGCGATGGTATTGGTCAAAGATGCCTCAGGTGAATACAAACTTGGTAGAGCATTGCTTGATTCGTGTTCTCAGGTTAATTTTGTAACCGAGAACTTCGCTCAAAAACTTCGCCTTCGTCGTGAAAAACACGACCAAACCAATACTCCACTGGCAGATGAATCGTTCTTTAGGTCTAGGCGCATTGATTTGTTATTGGGAACCGAAGCCTTCTATGGAGCTCTTGCTGTTGGCCAGATTCGCATTGGTCCCAATCTTCCCACGTTGCAGAAGATTCTTTTCGGTTGGGTTGTTGCTAGGAGGTACCAACGCCAACAGAATATACAGCCATCGTTGTGCTTGGTGACTGTAGAAGAGTCGATTGACAAAAACTTACAGCAATTATGGAAGGTTGACTCAATCGGCGATTCAAGAGCTAAAATTCTCCCAACTTATCGTCGCTGTGAGGAACACTATAGGGATACAACACAGAAGAATGACAGTGGGCGAGTTGTCGTGCGCTTACCATTCCAAGAAGACCCAAACTGTCTTGGAAATTCAATCGATACAGCTCGTAATCGAAGCTCAGATTCGTATTTGACGCTTCTTGCCGTACAACATCGCAGAAGTCACTTAACGATCTTCTTTTAGTCGGTCCATTCAGGATGAGTTGTACCTGCAATTGCTACGATTCCGCATGCATAGGTTCGGCA